CGAAAGGTTGTGGGCCAGGGGTAATCTAAACGGGAGGTTGTGGAACCGATATTTGTTTGATTATATGTTTGTGTGGTGGTACTTTGGGGGAACTACTAAGCTTTGACTTATAGTTTTAGTTAATTGTTTCAGGTACTTCAAAGGATCGTGGGAAAGCGAAGACGTGATCATGCACATCTTCCAGTTTTTATGATATTGGATCTCGGGATACTCTGATTTTGAATAATACTTTTGAAGCAATTGTTTTGTAAACACTTTATGGATGAAATTGGTTGTTTTTGAAAATTTTAAATTTTTATGACTTTTGGAATGTTACATGTTCTCCCGAAGTGGTCAACATTTTGTGGCCAGGTAATGTAATTGAGTCCATACGAAATGATAAAAGGAGAGAACATCCTAAAAAGATAATGAAAGTGGAGAGCATCCCACTATGTAATAAAAATTAATAGTGAAACAGGACGAAACCCATGTGTCTGCATTGTGTGAGGACATGAATTGCATAATCAATAAACAAGTTTAAAGCATATGAGAGTTTATGAAACAAACTTATGAAAATGAAAGGTTTATAAATTATTTGATAGTTCATGAAAGTTCATGAAAATGAAAGTTTTATCAAGTGTTTTAAAGCTTATGAAAGTAAAAGTTACCAGATGTTTGAAAGCTTATGAAAGCTTATAAATTTGATATTTGTATCAAATGATGTAAATGTTTTTGGTGTAAAATCATATTACTCACGTAACATTATTGTATTATGTATGTTTTGTTTAAATATCATATAAAGAGCTAGAAGACTATGTTAGTATTGGTAACATTGAGCTTTTGAAGGATGAAAAATCCGACATAGTTTTTATAATATATGTATAATCACTTTCTGTATCATTTTATCGCACAATTCATGTTTTGTAAATTAAAACAAATTGTTATTTAACGGAATTTTTTTGCCGTATTTTGATAAATGTGGTTTAAACGTTAAAAAACGTTTTAAAACCATAGTAATTTGTGTTATAAAAAGTCAGATGTTATAGTGGTGACTGCTGGTAATTATGTTGCTGACATCGATGGGGAACGACATTAAAGGTTCTTAGGCTTAAGTTTGGAGTTTTTGCATAAATGGTATTTGTGTTTAATGTGTTTACTGATTTGGTGTGAAGGTAAAATATGCATTTTAAAATACTTAACAATCAAATGGTAGAGGTAACGGTTTCAGGATCAAAAGTGATACCAGTGAAATAAAACCCATCCATGATAAATCGACAAAATTGTAAGTTTGGTCCCTGTGGTATGTCAAAAATTGGATGTTTGGTCCAAAAAGTTTTGGGGTTGCACCAGTGGTCCAAAATGTTTGATTTGTTGTGGAATTGGTCCAAAGGCTTAACAGCCGTTTGTGCCCTCCGTTTGTGTGAGGGTATTTCTATCAATTCACACCCCTTCTTTTAATATCTTATTAAATTAAACCCCATCCTCCTAATTAATTGATACCTACCGCTAAATCCCCTGTGCAGTTCATCGATTGACTCTCCTATCACCTTCGTCTTCGTTCGTTACCCAAAAGCCCTAATCTCAAAGTGAAGTTTTTTTGTGATCGCTATTATTTCAGTGTATGAACATACCAATGTGGAATATATGGCTCTTAGACAAACCGTTCAACGTAAATGTGGCTTATGGTAAGAATTTTGTAATTTCTCTGTACATTACATCTTTTGTATGTGAAATCATGCTTCTAAACTTATTTTTGTTGTTGGTTTGAAGATGGCCACCCAACATTATTTACCATCAAGCTATACCATGAAGGTGAGTTCACCAAGTTTCCTGATGTTCAGTACATTGACGGAAGTGTGAACTATGTTGACATGGTAGGTATAGACAAGTTTTCAGTTCATGAGTTGGATGCTATCATGAAAGGGTTCAGGTACGGTGTTCCTCTTGTGATTTACTATCACTTCCTTGTGCCCGGTCAGAACTAAATTGATGTGTTCGATTAAGTTCTTTGTCAAACAAATCGGATATCGGGAAACAAACTGTTGGACAACAAGCAAGACATTGTTCCATGTATTTGTCCGGCCGATATCATGAGAACAGAGGATTATATGATCACTTATCTAAAATGGCGCTTCATAGTTCAACAGAGTTTTCGAGAGCTACGATTGCTGGTTGGTTCCTGAAGCTATATAGGCAAATACAGTTATCAGACTTATCCAAGTGGGAGACTGTTGGATAAGGTGTCTAAGTCCATAACTTATTTGGTATATACTTGACCCGACCTGGCATGGTCCATTTGGGTTGCACTTCACCCGAACTATTTATATGGATAATATTATGAGAATAGTATATTTGCGGTCTACTAATATATTATCAGTTATAATATATTAATATGAAATTGTATTATTTAATTAGTATTGATCTTAAATTAATTATGAATTAATTTAGTGATCATAAGGTGACTAATTAAATAATGGGCTATTGTACTTATATAGTGTGGGCTAACACTCATTAGGAAATGGGCTAAGCTTAAATGGGAGTTCATGGATGATCCATGGAGCTTTTAACCCATGGATCCTTGGAATAGGAAAAGACATGGGTTATTAGGGTTTGCATGGTTCATAACCCTAATCATCTACACTATATAAAGAGGCTCATGGTGCTTGAAAAGACACTATGTGTGTGTGCATAAGGGTGGCCGATTTCTAGAGTGCTCTCTCATAAGTTTTCCAAGTTTGTGGTGATTTGTGATTTCCATTTGAGGCATTCACATTATTGGTGCTTGGCTCTCAAACTCCCAAGGAATCAACTCACTAAAAAAGGTATGTAATTCTTCTAGTATCTTTTATGTTTAAAAGTACCCCATGTATGCTAGGTAGGTTATGAACCTTGGAAAATTGTTTTGCATGTATTTTAGACAAACATAGATCCAAGGTTTCTAGGGTTGCATGAACACCTTAGGAGTGTTAGTTTGCTCAAAACCCAATACCTAGATCATCCCCTTGTTGAGGTACAACCATTACATGTTGAGGTTCATGATAGACAAAAAGAGCTTATTGCCAATGACTTTATTGAGGCAGCTACAGAATTTGACATGGGCCAAAGGGTATGCAGATGTAGGAAATGGGAATTAACAGGACTTTTCTTGTAGGCATGTGATTGCAGTCCTATTTGATAAAGCTGACAATGGTGAGGATATGGGTGAACTTTACACTTATGTACACAAGGTGCATTGGCTTGAAACCTGGAAAGAAGCTTATTGCTACAAGGTAGAACCAATCAAAGGTCGTATCATGTGGCCTGTTAGTGATTGTCCCATGAAGATCAGCCCTCCTCCACATAGTAATCAACCTGGTAGGCCCAAGAAGAAGAAGCAAAGATCCATGGAGGTAAAATCTCAAAGTCAAGCTCAGAGTCAAAGTCAAAGTCAAAGTCAAAGTCAAACAACTAGTGCTAGTGGTATAGATGGTCATGGTCCAGGGGGCAGTGGAAAACTTACAAGGAAGTTCATTACTGTCACTTGTAGCAAGTGTAAAAACAAGGGACATAATGCAAGAACCTGTAAGGTGCAAGGAGTAAATTGATGTGTTGACTTGTTGGATTAAGACTGTGTAATGTGTTGTTACTTTTGGGAACCATTGTGATGTTATTTTGGGTGTTTGTTTTATGTTGTTTGATAATTTGGACAACTTTACCCTCCGTTTAGAATGATGTTTTTTTGGTCATGTAACAAGAATTTGGTATGTGCAAACAATGGTTATTTACTTTTGATGTTCTTTTGTTTATGCATCATTGTCCTTTACTTTTTTGCATATTTATGTTACTATTTGGTTATGTTAAGCATTAACAGTTTGTCCCATCACTGCTATGTCTAGTTGAACCTAAATATTTGGATGTTTGTAACAAATAACTTTATTACCCACTAACCAAAACACTACATTCACTTGCATGTCCAAAAGAATACATTCACAAACATTGCAATCTTCCCAAAACAAAATATACCCCTAATACATGGACGAACTACTTCATCAGAAAAAAGACAAACCCAAAAAAACCCAACCACATATCAGGTACAACTTTAGTTTTGATTTTTCTTCATTTATTTTTCAAGTATCATACTTGAACATTTGATTTTCTTCCTTCAATTTTCCAGCTTCAGTCTTTAGCTTGTTGATTGATCTCAGCAACCTGGGTATTATTGATTTTGATTGTTCACACATTTGAGGGTCGATCCATCCTACAAACCCACATGTCAAATCCTAGCAAAATATAAGAAGAAATTGAGTGGTCGGTGAAAAATCTTCATAACCAACCACATGAATACTAACTTCTTCAGGGCATCCCCAAAAACGTCGCCCATGGTTCTTATCAGTCCAAGCCGTTCGCACTATCGCCATTTGACCACATAAACACCTCACCATTGTTGATTTTGAGTGTAGGAGAGACGATTTCGATTTTAGCAGGAGGAGATATCGATTTAGGGAAAAGGGGGAACACACGTTGTATCTATTAATAAGGGAAGTAGACGTTAGGGGGGTTTAATTTAATAAGATATTAAAAGAAGGAGTGTGAATTGAGAGAAATACTCTCACACAAACGGATGGCACAAACGGCTGTTAAGCCTTTGGACCAATTGCACAACAAATCAAACATTTTGGACCACCAGTGCAACCCCAAAACTTTTTGGACTAAACATCCAATTTTTGACATACCACTGGACCAAACTTGCAATTTCAATATTAGAACCAAATTTACTCTAATAGTAATTAAGGGTCCAATTATATTTGAACATAATTTTAACTTAAAAGGACTAAATAATGAAAAAACCAAACTCTTTATTGACAAATTAGATCGATAATTCATTTTAAAATGTCCACTAAAGACACTAGGAAATGCACCGTTACTTTCATTGAAAGCCACACGTAGAGAAAAAACCCACATTCCATAGGAATCCTCCACCATAAAAGTCTTCAGTTTCTTCCACAACTTCATATCTCCCTTCTCTCTCTCTCTCTACAATCATGGACTCCATCGCCCTTGTCTGCACCGCCTCTCTCCTCGCCGGCGGCCTTTACTGGTTCGTTTGCATGCTCGGAGCTGCCGAACAAAAGGGAAAACGTGCCGTCGATCTCTCCGGTGGCTCCATCGACCGTGAACAAGTCCAAGAGAATTACAACGAGTACTGGTCTTTCTTCCGCCGCCCTAAAGAGATTGAGAAAGCAGAAAAAGTCCCCGCCTTTGTCGATACCTTCTACAATCTCGTCACTGACATCTACGAATGGGGCTGGGGGCAATCTTTTCACTTTTCACCTGCGATCCCTGGGAAATCGAACCTCGAATCGACTAAAATCCACGAAGAGATGGCTGTAGATCTGATCGGTGTAAAACCTGGCCAGAAGATTCTCGATGCTGGATGCGGCGTCGGAGGTCCGATGCGTGCAATCGCAGCTCATTCAGGTTGCAATGTTGTCGGAATTACGATTAACGAGTATCAAGTGAGCCGAGCGAAGGCTCACAACAAAAAAGCAGGATTGGACAAGCAATGCGACGTCGTGTGCGGGAACTTCTTAGAAATGCCTTTTGAAGACGAGAGCTTCGACGGCGCGTACTCAATCGAGGCGACTTGCCACGCGCCAAAGCTCGAAGATGTTTACAGCGAGATGTTTAGGGTTTTAAAGCCTGGATCGCTGTACGTTTCGTATGAATGGGTGACAACCGAATTGTACAGAGGTGAAGATCCAGAACATGTAGACATCATTCAGGGGATCGAGAGAGGCGACGCCTTGCCTGGATTGAGGAGCTACTCCGATATTGCAGAGACAGCAAAAAAGGTAGGGTTTGAGGTTGTAAAAGAGAAGGATTTGGCAAAGCCTCCGGCGAGACCATGGTGGTCGAGGTTGAAGATGGGAAGACTTGCTTACTGGAGGAACCATATCGTAGTCATGGTGCTCGAAACGCTAGGGGTTGCACCCAAAGGCACCATTGATGTTCACGAAATGCTCTTCAAAACAGCGGATTATCTCACCAGAGGTGGAGAAACCGGAATATTCACTCCGATGCATATGATCCTCTGCAGAAAACCTGAAAAACCCCAAGAAGGTTGATCACATCGCCAGTATTTGAGGTTTATTCTCAATACTAATAGTTTGTTTTTGTGAAACGTTAGCTCTTTTGTGCCTTTTATCTTAATTATTAGTTCAATCTCCTGTTTTTAATTTAATCTCTGTTTCTGGATAGATCTAAATCTTTTCCTAATTTATGCGATTAATCTTGAAGATCAATCTTTTTCCTTTTCAAATTTTTTGTATTGAATGGAGCCTGTTTGAGGATTATTCATTCAAAATTGGGGAAAAATCAACAAACCAATCTTTTATTTGATCTGATTTGCTGGCAATTTATAGGTGTAAACCAACTGTAATTGTCTTTTAGCAGATGTTGGCATTAATTATGTCTTGAACAGTAAGGTCAGTAGTACTTCTGGGATATAATCTTGGAACTTTACATGTTGATGGAGCTCATAAGTGTTGTGGGTCCCAAGTTAGAATGTTAGATGGGGTAGCCCTTAAGATTTGGGTAAATGAAAAAAAAAGTAATATCTTATAGAATTGTATTTCAAGAAATTTACTTAATTATAGTAACGTCACACTCACACTGATACAAAGTATATAATGTAAAACAATTGAAAATTTAATATTGTAATTATGTAGATTCTTTAATTACATTACCTTAATATGAAAATATTATGGTGGATATTGTTTTATCTTTTAAAAAAAAAGTAGGATGCTTTAATACACAAATACATGAAGGTAGGTTGCTATTTCTTGCATTTAGCCATTTAGACCTTCAAGATTTGATCTTTTTTATCTGATTCATCTTCCTTTTATGCTATGATAGAATTACATGAAAAAAATAGCACATACTTTTGTTGATTTCTTTATTGTAGCATCTTACTATATCACTCTACTTTAGAAAGGTAGTAATATCACCTGAATTTCGAAGAATAATGTCTTATTGAGAAAAATAAATTAATATCACCTTAATTAATTATTACTATTAATTATTATTAAAAAAGATGCTTGTCACATGACATGTTTAACTAGAATCCTACGCAACTCATCAAGCACCAAATCATCTTTGTTGTTTAAAAGCCAATTTAATATTCTTATAACTTATATCTGATTATCTGTACTCTTTGAATATTTAACTCTTTTAATTTTAAACAAATAGTTTATTATATATCACCCACGACATGTGACATGCCCTTGATCTAGATTCTACGCATATATATAATCATTTTCAGATCTCAATAACCCTTCTTTGAGCTGGATCCAACAACAATGAATCCTTCTGTTTGTTGTATTATAGCATCATACTTTCGATATATATGTTTTTCTTATTAAGATATTATATTTTAAAAAATCTACACAATTATAATAACAATAGGTCGAAAAGCACCTTTGACAATTAAGATTTTTGAAGATGATGTTATATGTGATTTTTGAAATATGGTTTAATAAGGTGAACTTTTTGTATTAATTAAATATAAGACAGTAGATGAAACATGTTTGATGTGATGTGGTACCAAGTACATGAAGTTAACAAACTTTCACTAAATCAAATGAGACAAAAAGACAGTTGTTTTGAAAGAAACAGAGCACATGATGGAGCTGGAAACACACAGCCAAAACCACTGTACTATCCTCCATGTGCCAATTTCCATGAACTGTCCCTTCTATACCCCTACCCCCACCCCACCCCACCCTACCCTACCCCCACAAGTCCCCATTAGGAAATATTAAAAAAGGAAATATTAAAAAATTACAATGGGCACAACAGTCTCCAACTCCCAATGGAAAATTTCAAAACTTATAGAGTTGTTTTTTAACTGTGATTCATATTCTCATGCTTTAATGGTGGGGTATATGCTCAGAGATAGTGAGATACCTATCCATAGATTCTATGCTTAAATGGATTTTATTGGATCCTAATTTTCGAACTCATTCGACATTTTTTAATGTTTGTTAGATTTTCAAAATTTTATATGCTGATCTGAGACATTTTGAAAATTCGCTTTTGTAGAATTGGTGTACTCGTTTAATGTTTTCGAACGTCATTTACATTTCCGTGATTCTGATTTGTGACATAAAAAAAATAGAAATTTGTTTCTTTTCTTATTTTGCGAACTGAAATATGATTTTCGAACTAGGTTAGATTTTTTTTTTCAATTCTGTAACCATTTAATAGTGGGTTTTTCCTATTATTCAATGCTCGATCCTAATTTCTCGAACTAAACTTCATCAATAACTAGCAATGAGCCTGTGTGTTGATGTTTTTGGATGTACACGTAACTGATTTTTGATTTTCTTGCCTGAATGATTATCAAATAAAGAGTCATTCGGTCAAGAAGAGAACTAAGATAGCCGCAAACCAATGAGGAGCAACATGTCCTCAACATGTGGTCTAAAACAATTGTGTCACGAGCATGTGAAACTCAATTTTAATGATAGAGTTAGCCAGAAAAAAACTAGTTATTGAAACAGCCTAAGCACCTTTCCACGTGATTCTTTATAAGTTTCAGCAAAGACTTATACTTGAGGCTAGTCTACCTTTCGTGGTCATTAGACTTTATCATATTTATTTGAATTTAAGATAAATGTTACTGTAGCACAATAAGCATATGTATGGTTCGATCTGGTCAACATACCCTTCAATAACCGAAAGCAACCCTACGTAAGTCAAAACAAAGTCCACAATTTTCTTAAGATACTTTAGCACCCTCCTTACTACTTGCAAGTGATGAGTATTAGGCTTGCTAGTAAACCTACTTACCTTTCCTACAACAAACGCAATATCAAGTCTTGTGCTGGTCATAACATACATCAAAGACCCAATAACCTTTGAATACTCAATGTAACACCCAAAAATTTCAGACCAAATTTAAACTTTTCAAAACATTTAAGATCCATTAATGATTACAAATTCGTTTTCCAAAATAGTTTATATCAAAGTTTTTCCCCAGGACCATAAACAGAACAGGAGGAGCTGTACGATCATGTCTTTGCCTTGCCGCGATCCCCTGATGTACCTGAAACAATAAACTGGAATTGTAAGCCCGAAAGCTTAGTGAGTTCCCCCAAAAATACTGATACACTGCACATAACATATATATAAACAACAGCATGTACTGGGTCCACAGCTTTGCAGACTGGATCACCCCTGGGCCCACAGTGTGAGTCTGGATTTCCTTGCGGGCCCACATCTAACATCTGGCTTGCCATTGAGCCCACAGTACGAGTCTCCCTTAGCCCGTATCTGGAATGCTCCCGGGTTTGTTGGTTACCGCATGGAGCAATATCACCTCAACCCATCCCGCATAGACATCAACAAATAACATAACCACTGAGCATGCAGATAATCACATAACAACACAGGTATCCATACATATCTACCTAACTGGCATAACCACTAACATGCAACATTACTCATACTCAACATTCTAACACTGCTAGGATAACATATTCAGTGGGCCGTCCTTGGTGCCTTAGACCCCTTAGTATAGTGAGGATAACTCACCTCGCAACTGTCGTCTGAAACTAGAAAGCTCAACTCCCAGATCACCACCACAAACTCCACCACCTATATCTGACACATCACAAAGTTCATAAATTCCCAAGATACTCCCAGAAGTCCAAAAGTCAACCCTCGGCCAAAGTCCAGGTCAACTTTCAAGGTCAACAGTCCATGTTGACCTCAACTCGTCGAGTACCCTTAGCTACTCGCCGAGTTCCTGGCATGACTCTCCAACTCACCGAGTCACTTGAGTGACTCGTCGAGTTCCTAGTGTTAGCGGCCGTAACTCCTTGGCTAACTCGCCGAGTTTTCCCTATACAACTCGTCGTGCTCAAACGTGTCCGAAGGTTGGGAAAACCCTAACCGACTCGTCGAGTCATTCTACTTACTCGTCGGGTCTATGACAATCTCCAAAGGACTCGCCGAGTTGTTCATCCAACTCGTCGAGTACAGGACCATCTTCATGTGGCTCGCCGAGTTGACTAAGCAACTCGCCGAGCCCCCTCCAGACCTTCAACCATTCAGGTACTTTTTAAGCCATGCAACAGCTCCATATTGCAAATCTAAGCTCCTAGGGCATGCTTATCACGTAAAGTTGCAAACTTTACGTGCATGCAAGGCCCTAGAGACTATAAATGACCAATCCAAGCTTTCAATGGAGCTCTACACCTTAGGAGAGTCTCATTCTTGCAAAAACTGGAAACTTTAAGGAATTAGAGACCCAAGAGAGTTCAGATCTGAAGTTGCAACCTCAGAACTTAGCTCAAACACAAGAAATGCTTCCTAATAAGCTAGAAAAGCCCTAAAATCCACCCAACATAGATCTAGAAAGAAGAGGGGTTAGGATAACGGCTTAATACCTTCTAGGAAGGATGCCAACTGAAGTAGATTTCTGGTTCCACACGTTCCTTGCCCTTAGCCACTTGATTTCCAAGCTTCTTCCCACCAACAATCCTCTTCCCAAGCTTAAAAACACAAATGGGGGTATGCTCACACGAATTAGGGTTTGAGGGTGTTAAGTAACTGTAAAGGGGAGGCTGGGGAAGGCCAATGATCCTTTAAATATGGTGCAATACCCAGGGATTTAGGATTTTATCTGCCAGCTCCTACTCGTTGAGTCCCTTCTTGGACTCGGCGAGTAGGCCACTAAAATACGTGGACCAACCCGCTGCTACTCGACGAGTAGGGCAACCAACTCGTCGAGTAGACCTTGAATCAAAGAAATTCTTTTACAAAATCGATACCTGAGAATCGGGCCGTTACAATTCTCCCCCACTTGAACTAGACTTCGTCCTCGAAGTTTGCCACGACGAACAGCTCCGGGTAGTGCTCCCGTATATCTGCCTCTCGCTCCCACGTCCACTCGGACCCCCTCCGATGTTCCCACTGTACCTTTACCAAAGGTATCTCCTTGTTCCGCAGGACTTTCATTTTCCTTTCCAGTATGGCCACAGGCCTCTCCACGTAATTCAGGCGCTCATCGACCTGAATATCATCCAACGACACCACTGTCTCCTGATCCATAATGCACTTT